CCTTCAATTTGGCTCACAAGGTGCCTTCGGCGTTATCCCGATCCAGCTCGCAGAGGTCTCACCGCCTGCGTTTCGCGCAACATTCCCAGGCGTAGCGTACCAACTGAGCAATGTATATGGTGTCACCCGTACTCTGATGAAGCCATGCTGACTGCACGTCTGTAGATGATCTCTTCAGCATCCTCGCAAATCGAAGCGAAAGGCGGAGAGAACCTGCGCACTGCGGTGCTCATCAACGGCGTAGCGGAAGAAGTTCCCGACTACGCGACCGTGCAAGGCATCCTCGTTGGCGTCGTTGCCGCTTTTATTCTCGTCGTCACTATCCTCGGTCCTGAAGCGCATAGCGCGCACTTTGAGAAGCATAAGACGGCGTTCGAGGAAGGTGGTGGGAGGGACGATGCTTTGATTGAGGAGGTGGGGTCGGTTGATTCGTCTCATCCGATCGAGTCGTTGGATGAGAAGGAGGCCAAAAGCTTGGAAGAAATGGCTTAAGGCTGTGTATACATAGGTCATGAAGCTTCACTCGATATGTACAACGATAGGATACGAAGAATACTGGCAATGTTCATCGTGTGAACTTCGGCCTACCGGCCCGAAACAAGCTGCGCCTAACGGGGAAAGAGATGGCAGATCGCAATCACTGCGCAGACACCATATATGCGCCGTCTTTCAATGAACACAAGCGCTACAGAAGTAAACGCGTACTCGTACTGATTACCTAATCATCATATCCCGAAATGCACGAATGGCGCCCATCGCAAGAACTCCTTCTCGCCAACCTCTTCCCTCAATCGCTTCGCCGCCTCATGTAGCGCGTACGCTGCACCCGTCTCGCCACGCCGGGACGTCGCAGATGCGCGAAGCTCGAGTAGATTCTTGTAGTACTCCTCGACAATTAGAGGTGCATCGTCATCACGTATCGACCACATCGTGGCAACGACACCTTTGAAGCCGACGGCGAGCATGCCCGCTGCGAGGTGCATGGACTCTTCGGAGATCTTCTCGTCGCCGACGGCGGTCTGGCATGCGGAGAGGAACGCAAGATCCGCATTATCCGCCGTGGTCGCCATGAGATCAGACAGCGTTAGCGGGCCGTCGTACAATGCGAACGCGCTCTTCAATGGATCGTTTAGGTCCTGCGATCCATGACATGCGAGGTGCAGCCATGAGTACTCCCCGAGTACACGTTTCACCGCGTCTGTTGTCGCATGCTCGCCGTCAAGAGCCGTAGGTGGAGTTTCCGAGTCGTCGAAGAGCTCTCGCAACCGCAGTCCCTCAACTGTTGTACCCGGTAATGGCGGAAAGCCGGGCGTGTCAGGTTGGGTCACCACCAGAATGCGAGGTGTTGAGCCTTGTCTCGCGGAACTATCAAGGCTGCGCGTGAGTGCGGGTAGCGACGGCGCATACGAAGAGACCACAAGATTGCATGTGCGCGGCCCTGCGGTCTCATCGTAGATGCCCGCTGCGTGCAGTGGTAGCTGCATCAGTGCTCCACTGGGGCACCAAGTAACATGTGGCATGGTGTCATTTGCTGTATTCTGCATAGGTACCAAGTTAATAAGTGCACACACTCAAAATGGTCTATGGTGGTGAGGACTCACGACGACATCCACCAAGTTGAGTGCTGTCAATATTGGGCCCACAACCCATCTCCAAAGGCGGTCTAAAACGCGGGAAGCCGAATCACTGCCTAATTGACACTTGCGATATCGCACCGAGGAACTGCGCTCGCGAACTCGAACGTTCTGCTGTTCAAGGTACGACTGCCATCGCGAGCGTAGGGCCTCTGCCTTAGCCAAAGAAAGCTCAGAAAGCCGAAGGGTAGTGATCGTCCCTTCAGGGTGGATGATCAGGGCATCGCATCGCGTGCGATCAACGTTGATGCAGACGACGGGGCCGCTGAGAGGCGTGAATGATTGCAAAATCGCAGATAGCTTCCTCGGGCGCATGAAGCCCTCGAAGCCCGGTAGGCGACGAAGTTCTGCGAGAAGCTTCCCGTGTTGTATGGCAAGCCCACGATGGCGGTCTTTTTGGGAACGCTGCGCGTCTTCGCGAGGCTCTGCAGCGCCCATGTTGTGATGTAATGATATGCTCATTGAACTCTGCAGTTGAGCGTGAACATCGCTGAGAGCGTGTGCGAGGTCCGGATGGGCCTGCTCAAGTTCATGCAGTGGGCTGCGCAGCGATAAGGTCTGCGTCCATACGAGGGCCCTGCCCACGTCGAACCATTCCACGGCTTGTGGTACGGCGCCAGCACCAATAGCAGCACATACAGCGGAGCTGATGAGTTCGCCGAGCTGCTGTGACTCTTCAAGGCGACGTTTCAAGTCGTATCCGACCCAGACGAGCTCGGGTACGATGTCAACGATGCGTGAGTGCGCGAGAAGCAGGTCCGCGCGTGTGCTGAAGTCCGGGTAGTCGTTGAGAAGTATGACGACGCTCTTCGCTGTGTTGAGACGCTCAACTGGCGAGAGTAGAGGGTAGGATGTGGCAGTCGTGAAGCAGGATAATGCTTCCCGGAGACTATCCGCATCCCCTTCTCGGCAAAAGCACGTAAGAAGAGACATCCCAAGATTGTGCAGCCTCGTCTCCTTGTCCATATCGCCATCCTCAGTGAGGTTCACTGCACGCCTCTGCTCCTCAACGGCGCACTTCAGGCCATCGAGCTCTCCGAAGCGCTCGAAGCGGAGATAGTGCAGGTATCCAAAGTTGTCAAGTCGCACTGGTATTCCGGGATAATCATCAGGAGTGAGTTCGATGGCGCGACGTTGCAGTTCGAGGGCTTTCTTGAGATCGTCACGGTCACCTGAACGCTCGAAGAGACGACGCAAGTACGACGCAAGGTTATGAAGCCGAGTCGCCTCCTCGGGATGACCAGTGGGAGTTAACTCGATTGCATGCCGTTGTTCCGCGACAGCACTTTCGAGATCCTCGAGCTTCTTGTGTCGTTGGTAACGAAGAAACTGCGAGTGTCCGAAGTTGTCTAGCCGTATAGGCTTGTCGGGATGATCATCCGGAGTAAGGTCGATCGCGCGGCGCTGCATTGTGATGGCGCGCTCAAGGTCCTCAGGGTCGCCCAGACGCTCGAAGCGACTCAGTAAAGACGATGCAAGGTTGTGTAGCCGCATCGCCTTATCGGGATTTGTGTCAGCGGTTAGTTCGATCACCCGTTGTCGTCCCATGATGGCATGTTCGATGTCTTCTAGTTTCCCGAGGTGTCTGAATCGAGCGTCCTGCATGTAGCACAGGGTACCGAGCCTCACCGCGAGGTCGGGATCACCATCGGGGGTGAGTTCGACGACGCGATTTCCCAACGCAAGGGCACGTTCAAGATCCTCCGGATCTCTCAGGCGCTCGAAACGCCTGATCAAGGACACTGCAAGATTGTGCAGTCTTGTTGCTTTATCGACATGCCCATCGGGAGCCAGCTTAACGGCACGCTGATGTTCTGAGATAGCGCGATTGAGGTCGTCGAGCTGTCCAAACTGTTCGAAACGAAGCGACAACAAGGAGCCGAGGTTGTCGAGTCTGACTGGTATACTGGGGTGGCCCGTTGGTGTCACTGCGAGGG